GGGGGGGGGGGGGGGGGACAAGGGGGAGAGAGAAAGATAGAGTCGAATAAAGAACGGGCTAATGCTGTAATGGTATCAGAATAAGGAATAACAAATAAAATTATTTGTTAACGCTCACACGTGTGCTTTTTATTTTTCTATCATCCCATATTTCCGTTCGAATTCCTATGTCCAGTTGGTCGTACGTCACACACACACACACAGACGCGTTGTTGTCAATCGGTACGGAAAAATCGGTGCCTCGGCTCGTCCGATCAGTCTTTCGTCTACCATTTTATAGCCCTCCCGAAAAATCACACAAACACGTTTTAATTGTTATTCAACGTTCCAGTGGCGGTGGAGGAGACTTCCGACCAGTCATTCATTATCGCGATCTCGACGCACCGAGAGAGCCGGACGAGTTTCTCTAAAACGCAAGGACACATGCCTCGAAGCTCTCGAGGATCCAAGGAGACCGGTTGTTCTCGGATAATAAACGGAGCCCGACCACGTTCTCTGCTAAAAGTAACCTCGAGACTTGCGAAATGTTCGTGAAATGGTTAATCAAACTTCAAGAACATATTTAGCTCGTCGAAACAGAATTATATCTCGAAAAAGAAAATCTAATCCAGACGCAGGTTCATATAACCCGTAATATTTTTCTTTTCTTTCTTTCATCCCTATCCTGTAAAGTGCAATATGGCCCCGAGGTTTGGAATCGTTTATTTCAGGAACATCCTGTTGTATCTGTACATACTTAGCGCGTCGAACAATTCTTATTTGGACGAAGGACTAGCGCGGAGTTCTCTCCTGTAGAACTCCGTACGTTCGTGTACGTTGAAAAACAGTTTTTATACGGAAGCGGGGCAATCAACTTGTATACAGAAATATCCGTAGCTGCGTATACACGAATCTCTCGATAGCCAAACTGATCAATTTTATGGGATGATTGAAGGATCGAGAAATTGGATAATGTTGTGAACATTGAAACGTGTAGTTTTGAAATATATGGAGCGATCTTGTGTTAATTAAATACGTGTGAACGCCCGATACTTGTTTATGTTACCGTTTCCCAATATACCGGTTTTATATTCCGCAGAATTCAAATGAGTCACGTGTTTGTAAGATTCCACGAAAAGCCGTACTACTCTCGATCGGTCTGGCTTCCGATAGAGACTCGCCTAATTCTTAGGTGTGTGTACAAACGCGACGAGGGCTATCTCTGTCCGTTTCGACGGGTCACAGATACGCGTAATACTTTGTGTGTAACTGTAGTATCTAAAAATATAATGTCTCGTGCAAAATAGCGCTCGGCACGGTAAACAGAAGTAAAAACAAATCGGTACTTGTAATCGACTTTATGGTACATCAATAAATCTCTGTTGTTTCCTAATCATACCCTACGACTGGATTTTCTCTGCGTATATTACCGCCTGTAAACAATTTATTACGCAACATTGCATATCTACACGGCACAGTTTTATATACAATTAATTACACTGGTATCTCTCTGTCTCTTTCACACGCACACTCGCTCGGTCTGTAAGAAAAAATACTGTGATACGAGTCGTGGGAAACGTCATTCGGCTTCGTCTCGACGCGGGAGCAAGTTTTTAAGAGAATCGATGCTTGCAGTGTCTCTCGTCGCTTCCGTCCCCGCAGTCGTCGATCCCGTTGCATTTCATCCCCTTCGCGATGCATCTACTGTTTCTGCGTATAGATATCAAGTTATTGTTCGTGCGATCGTTAATTAACAACGATCGAGGGATAAATTGTAAAGTAAGATCGTAATATACTTCGAGACAGAATCGAGGTTAACTGTGCTGCGATAAACAGTCGATGTAAAGTAATGTCTCGATGAGTGCGACGTACTGGGGTCCGCATCAGAGCATTCATTGCAGGTTTTCAATCCCTCGTAAATTTGCTTTTTACCCGAAGCCTTTGCTTAGTTTCTGTTCACAGACACCTCTCGATTATTGTCTGGTTTGTTTTATACGATTATTGTCCAGGCGTTATCCCCACCACTGGGGAGAAGGCGTGGAACGGAGGCTAGGGCTTCGGGCAAACAACGAATTTACGAGGATTGGAAACATATCTCCCTACAAGATTATTGTCCTGGCGCTGACCCGAGTTCGGGACGATAATCGAGAGGTGTCTGTATTCTGTTTTGACTGGTTCTAGAGGGGAACATCCCCATTGGTGGGAATAACGCCGTTGCTCGTGTCGCATTCATCGAGGAATACATAGCACTCGATCCCGTCACATGTACACAAAGATCGATACTTACTGGCACGTGAATTCGTGCTTGTTGCAACGTCCCTGGCACCCGGAAGGTTCGTCGGACCCGTCGACGCAGTCCGGCAGACCGTCGCAGAAACGAGCCTTCAATATGCACTGTCCGTTGCTGCACGTGAACTCGTTTTCCGAAGGACACGCTGGTGTTCGGAACAACAAAACAATCGGCGTTGTGTGAATGCTCGACCGTGTTCGTCGTCGCCGTGGATCGATCGATCGAAGCCAAGGAAGCGGGCAGTGCGATATATATATATATATACATAATATCGGATGGTTAGAGCGTCGCGATTTTCAGTTCGCGCGCGCAGGAATTGTGTTAGGTTAGATTAACCAGCGTGTTCGGTTTAGGGGGAAAGGAAGATCGAAGACCGGGATGAAAAGCGGTATTGTGCAGAGGCAAAATCAAAGGGATCGTTGTGTGCCGGACAAGGAGAGAGAGAGAGACAGATATATATATATATATATATATATATATAGAGAGAGAGAGAGAGAGAGAGAGAGAGAGAGAGAGAGAGAGAGAGAGAGAGAGCGTTTAAGTATAGCGTATCGGGGTAATGGAGAAGCATATAAGCGGTGCGCAGCGGGACATGCGAAAAATTGTTCCAAAACGAACGGAATATGTACTCACACCAACCGAGATTACGACCTACGGAGGAGAGAACAGAAAACAAAAACGAAAGTTGAGAAAGAGAGTGAGTGGTCGACAGTAAGAGATAAATAGATAGAGAAAAAGATAAGTTCGTGATGGTCGATGGTACACGAACGAGTCGACCGATCGAGAGACCGTTCGTTGGACCGAAAATGTCAAAGAATCCATCGGGTAGAAGAAGAAATCAAACATAATATCCGATCGTTTGAACCAGTCGAATGATTCGGGAACCAACGACGCGCGCCTCTCGCGACACAGAGACAGAAGTCTCCGAGCCTCACCTAACGTGCAATTAATCTCGTCGGCCGCGTCCCAGCAGTCTATCTTCCCGTCGCATCTCTTTTCCAATGGAAGGCAGGAAGTCTCGTTACCGCACTGGAAATGCGTCTCCGGGTCGCAGACTGCAAAAAAACACGGCAACAACCGGCGTTATCGGTTGCGAATCTTCTAGCGCGTGGGCACCGTTCGCCACGAGTTTCGCTCGCGAGGACACCCTATACAACTGATCTACCACAGATTTCGTGGGATCTTGACTTTACACGAAAGAATATTTCAACATGTTTCGCATAAACAGGTGGTAAACATGGGCGTAGCCAGATTATCCATCGCGGAGTGGGAAGGGGCAAAATCCAATTTCTTTTTTATTCTACGGGGAAAGTTCCGTTGAGGAACGAAACGTCCCCGGACCCGGTCAGAGGGGTCTTCACCCGACAGGATTACACCGATTATTAAAGCGAAAAGTGGGAAACTGAAGCCTCGCGAACAGCGGCGTACAAACCGCGGCAAATCCGATAACAGAAAGTTATGGGTCGAGCAAAACTGGGCTAATTCGGTGTGCCAGAGGGAGAAAGCATAAGTTGCATACCGCAATTGTACTCGTCCGAATGGTCGTAACAATTCATATGGCCGTCGCAACGTTTCTCCGACGGGATGCAGAGTGTATTCGTGCAGGTCCACTCGTCGTCCAGACAGTAGTGTTCCACCTCCACGCACCTACTCGAACAGAGAATAAAACGATTATTACTGTAATATAAAATGTATGATAAATTAAGGGTTGACTAGAATACCCAACAAAGCATTCCTATAATTTGAGTAACTGTGAAACAAGAAATTTGAATTCCTTTATTTTTATGGGTTAGATACTTCTGATCGTTAAAGCAACACGAACCTGAACGCGTCCACATCGAGACGATGACACTTCTGTTTGTTGACCAGACAGAAACCGGCGCATCCTGTCGGATCCTCAGGATCGAGACCGGCCCTGCAGATTGGCACATCCTCGTCGACCAGAGCCACACAGACCTCTCCATTTAAGCAGTCATCGCAGTATCTGGTGGAGTTCAAATTTGGCGCTTCCGTTTCCGTGGTCGGCTGAGTGCCGTTCTCCGGAAACGACTGGTCGCCGCTTAAAAGGACGCTCGCGAGCAAGCTTTCGCTGCTCGTAGTCGTCGTCATCGTTATAATTGTTGTACCGTTTCGATGTTCCACGTTCCCATTCGAAAACAACGTTCCCGCGGCGAGCGTGTCGGCCGGCAACGAATCGTTCGCGGACGATTTCAGGTACTGTTGGATGATCTGCAGCTTTTCCGGCTCTGAAACCGATCGACGGAATAATCCCCACGGATGTCATATACGCGGGATGAGAACGAGATACAGTAAATCCTCCATGAGTGTTCGAAGGCTTCTCAGCAGTGACTTTTTAATGATGATTGATTTGAAATTCTCAAGGAAATTATATTTGTTTCAGCCGTATACATTCGCGTAACTAGAATTTTTTTCTGGGGCCCGCATAAGGCCATTAGTTTATGATATATTTAATGGTCAGTGCCGAGGAACCTTTGAACACTCTTCGAGGATTTACTGTAGCTCGTTAGAAAGCTTGCCAGGTTGCTAGAAATAACTGGTCGGTTGGAGAACATCCGACGGTCAACGCGTTCTCGGCGTTATTACTCGCGACACGCACACACGACTTAACCCTGCATATCCTAAATTAATTTTTATTGTTCAAACACGATTTTTCGTCTGTACATACAGGGTGTAAGAAAAGTATTGTATGTCCCTGAAATGGGTCACTCGTGGGGTGATTTGGAACAAGTTTTTCCTTAGCAAAAATGTTATCCGAGGCTTTGTTAACGAGATACGAACGAAAATACCCGTTCCCAAAAACGATCGCTCACCGAAGACGATGTAGAGAGCAACGGCGCCGATTCCCAGAAGCGCCAGAATGACAATCAACAGGAGGACCAAGGACCTGGAGCAGCCGGAAGTCTTCAGGGGCCGGGCTAAATGCAGGGTCCAACCGTGACGATGTTTCCGCAGTCTAGCGGGATGCGGGGGTGGCTCGCCGCGGACGCTTCGTCGTAAATTCACGCGATTCTGCGAGGACGGCGTCTGCGTTCGCACCGGAAGGGAGTAGGCCCTCTGTAACAAACAACTCTTCCCCCGTAAACATCATAACGGGACATAGAATTTTTTTTCCACTCGAAATTCACCCTTTTGTAAATTAAATTAACCCTTTTCCAAATTAAATTCAACCTTTCGCAATTTTCTAACCGAAAATTAACCAAAAAATGATTTTACAAAAATGTCGAACCACGGCGTATCAGAATTAACCGCCCATCGATCATTTGATTCGCAAAAGGATGAATGTGTTTTACGAAAAAAGTTGAATTTTACGTGCAACAACACATAGATCGTAAGTACTCGATCTTAAGTCGAATTTACCTGAAGCTCTGCCATCGGTACCGCATTCTCCTCGAAATGACGTTTCTCACCGTCGATTCCGCGAATATCGCTTATCTGTTTCCCGATAGAGTTTAAAGATCAGTTACCGCTGAGCAACAGCACGAGGGGCGCGGCAACGGTTCGGTTTGACGCCGCGGCAATGCGATTCTAGCGACGAAAACGGGAGGACGACGAATCACCACGGATCGTATTTCGTTCGACGCTTCTTGGAAATGTTTGTTGTCCGCGTATGATATCGTTGAGACGGCGTGGAACCATTTCTTTCCGGTCTGGTTACTTTCCTTCGGGAGAGACCGACGCGACCGTTAGGAAACTAACGAGGCAATGGTCCGAGTCGAACTGACACTGACTAACCGGCTCTCTGCCGGCGGCGCCTCAACGCGATCGACGTTCGACCGTCAAATTGTTAATTTCTATCCTCTCCACTATAATACAGTAAAACCTGTTTTTGTGCGGTCCTTTTTTATGCGATTTTATTTTTATGCGATTTGTTTTGTGCGATTTTATTTTTGTGCGATTTTTTTTGTGCGATTTTTTTTTATGCGGTATATGAATTTCAACGGCATTGGCATTACTGTAATGTTTTCTATCAGTGTACATATAAATATACACTTCAAGACGCTCTGTTCATTTGGTTTAAACAGTTTCCCGACAATGTACATTCAATTATTTTCGCTCGACGCGCTAGCAGCATACGCTTCGTATTCCGAGTTTTATCCACGACTCACGTGATTAAGGATTCATTTTATAGTGAGATTAAAGGTAAATAAATTAATTACTTTTGTTTCTATTTGTATATAGTTTTTATGATTTTCATTTTATTTTTAAACATATGTACTCCCTTAAAATGAATAATTGTAGCCAAAAAAAAGTGAAAAGAAAGACAATTCCATTAGAAACAAAAAATCTAATATTAAATAGACTAGCAGATGGTGAACCAATTCATCACAAGAAGATGCGCGTTAAGGATTACGACGACTAGCAGTGAATTATGTAATGTGCATTTTGAAAACTTCTCCATGTATACAATGAAAAATTAAATGCTTTTATAATGTGTAATTTAATTATTTATTTTGTTTGGAAGCACTTTCTCATGTATTTCGTAAATAACTGACGTATTTTCTAAGTGCGACTTTTTTTATGCGGTCCCTCTCCGCCGCATAAAAAAAAATTTCTGTAGTATGTCGTACAAAGTTGTTTATTATATGTAGTATTTATGAAATTTCCGAATATTTTTTTGTGCGGTTTCTTTTATGCGGTCCCTATCTACCGCATAAAAACAGGTTTTACTGTACACTACAGCTACTATATAATTAAATATAATAGTAGAAGGTTCCCGAATTCCCTTATTTTTATATATGTTGCTTGTTATTTCTAAATCAATTAATGTAATCACCACTATCATACACATATTGTCTATCGTATAGAGCAAAAAATCGTAGACATAACAAGTTACCAGTAATAGTCCAACACAGGCAAGTATCCAAATTCGACAAGCTTCCCCTACTATATTTTATAGCTAGGTCGATTAGGTTTCTTTCAAAAACACCGAACGTATCTCTTTATAAAACTTGACGATTTGAAAATTTTTCAGCTGGAAAACCACCGAGTCTGACTAACCGATATTCGAAGTTCCACGTTGAAAATATTTCTCGAGACCGATCCTCGATATCGATCGCGATTTCAACAAAAAAAAATTGTTAACATTTCGTTGCGACGGAGAATTTCACGCGGACTTCACTTACGAGAGGCTCGTGCGTGGCGTGGTGCCGCCGGACGATCATCGCGTCTGGCTATAGATAGACCTTTTCCACTTCCGTTCCGTTTTGTTCCCTTTAGCGAACCGAGGGGGGGGGGCGGACATGCGACGAAGGCGGAGGAGAAAGACCACGCGAGGTTTACCTCGTCGGACCGAGAGGCCACCGTCTACTCGAGGGAGACGAGTATATGTAACGTGTTCCGCGGGAGGAAGCCGACACCGTTGACAGCTTAAAAGCGCTCCCGTGAAATTTTAAGCCTATATACGCGCTGGAATCGTTAATCGCGTTTTTCTAGATCGTCCGCAGATACTGCGACCAATGGCGTCGCTTCGCGATGACGCTGCCCAAAACCGATAACGTAGCGTCCAAGATAGATCGTTACGAGAAAAGATATGACGCCAGTTGTATCCGTCCACGTAACAAGCATTACGGTAGCAAATTCATGTATGTATGTCCATTCGATTTATTCAAAGGAACATCTGAACTCCGCGAAACATGGAGTCGATCGGTTTGGGTACTGAAGAAAACATCGAAACGTTCGTGGAAACACGATCTTAGGACGAAACGTTAATTATGAAAACATAGCACCGTCGATCATGTCACGGGGAAACACTTTGATGGTAAGGTAGGAGTGAAACGAACGACTTACTTTGAAGTCTAGGGTGAGAAGAAAGAAAACGAGTCACGGCGACGATCGTCTCGAGTGGAACGCGACGACGGGGACCATTCCCTGTGTGAACTAGCCGGCCCGCGAAAATTTGTCGTCTACGGCGCGTTGATCTTAACACACTCCGACGATTCGAAATAGAACGGAAGGAGGAAGATTCGAGAAGACGAGACCCCACCTGTCGCTGTTAACGAAAACATTACGACGGTCTTTTATCCACGACCACCTACCACTTTTTTCCACGTCAGCCTAGACTCTTTCGTCTAGGCTGACGTGGAATATTATCACTTTTCCTGTTATTATAATTTAAAATCACGATATTGTAGCCTTTCAACACATTGCGGCGATATGAGTGTAATATACTTCTTGTGATTTCGTGATGCTTCGCGCGGTGATGTCGGAAACCTTGAGCATCGCGTAATTTTTGTACGAATCTGGGTCGTGAGCAGAGCGGCCGATCAGCCGTGACCAGAGATACGATTGATGGAATCCTCCGCGAGGTTTCATTTATATTCATCTCCGGCGGAATTAAAGACGACCGAACCTGACCGCAATGACGCGCTTTCCGAATAATAAATGGAAGAAGCTTGTCACCTATTGTGCGTAAGAATATCAATTGTTAAACGTTGTCCATGGGAACACATCTTACTCTCGCGAATGAACTAAATATGTAATACACAAAATTCCCAAAGATTCTATAATAAACAATTATGTGTTTTCCATTTTGTGTTCAACCCCCAAATAAGACCAATCCCGCCCTCTGGAAGGGTAAATTAATTTTTATACAGAAAGAAGCAAAAGTTTTTCCACCCTTCGAGAAAACACAAGTGTTCAAGAAATTTTAATTGATAATGTAATTGTGTTTTAATTGAATTGTCCGGGACAGCGCGAACGCAGTCCCGACTACCAAAAATTATACGCCCGAGATATCCACATTAGGGGTATTCGCAAGGGTCAGCCTAACCGAGGTGCAATGGAAAAGCCTCGCCCTGGAGGAACCGCCTTCTTGATCACGGTAACCTCTGCGCCAGGTAAGTATGCTTTCCTCCCCTATGCGTTTCTACTTGTAACGACGACCGTGCAACTTCGCTTGCGAGAAACATTGTCGGCCTAAATGCCGCCTAGCGACGAGTCGGTGAACTAAGGTATTTCAAACGACACAACCTACTGTTATGAGAATCATTGGAGATTAAAACAGTTTCGCGAATGGCACTGTGCACGATATGTTTAATATACAGGCTGCGATAAATTTTTAAACGGATTTCCATTGGAAACATGTCTTTCCGATGTTTTTAGAATCAGGTCGAACAGACCATGCATGCATTGGGTTAGTTAGAATATACGTATTGGTTTTCCCGCGCTTTTCCCAGCATTCTTTGCAGTCGATCGGTCGATAATTAACAGCTGATTCACGGATAAACAGACTCTCACCTGAAACGATCCGTGTTCCTTGACATCGGTATAGAATATCGGTGTTTCCTTCGCGTACCAACGATCCTGCGAATAAATCGAGTTCACCCTCATCCCAGCCCGGATCTTTTCCGGCGAAATCAAAGCCTTCTCCTCCTTGTTAACAGTCTCAGTCACGAGACCACCCTTTCGCTCATACTCGATCAAATTATCCGTGTTCGTCGGGGATCCCCCGAATTTCTCGGAAATCGTGAACACGTTCGGCAAATTGCTGCCTCTCGCGGTGAACTTCTCGGCCATCACCAGCCCTCCTGAACACGTTCTCGACGTTCCCAAATCGCACGGATCGAGAATCATTCTTGTATTATCGTTCGAGATCGTTACATTGATCCGTTGCTGCTCGTTGTCCCTATTCTTCCGCAATACAATCTCCTCTTCGTTTTCCCTTTCGTCGATCTCACACTTCTGATCGTTGCCCAATGCTACCGCCTTGATCCTGCAATGCTTGCAGTCCTTCTTCCTGCGTCTCCTGTTCGGCCTAGCCTCGATCGACTGCGCTCGACTCGCGATCTCGCGGGACGGATCGTTCTCCAGGGACGCAACAACGTTCGCCGCAACGTTTTCCGCGTTCTCCGACTCCTCCAGTCGGACATTCCTCTCGCGATTGGTCACGCGAACGGAAGAGCTAACGGCGGACGGATCGAGGCCGGTGGATCGACGAAACGGTAGCGTCAGATTGCGCCGAAAACCGGCGGGCACGTCGTCTCTGATCGACGATCTCGTCGCGACGTCGCGCGTTACGCGATCCTCCGCGTCGAACGCACTCTGCTGATCGTTCGCGATCGATCTTCGTGGATCATGGACGAAGGGGGAGATCGTCGAGATTTCCTCGACACCCGGCATAATGTCCTCGTACACGTGGCCATCAGCGATCGAAACGGACGGGTTCGAGACGAAATCGATCCTTGAAAGAAGATAGGACTGTTGGGAAATGGTAGCTGCCACTGGGATCACTGGCTGCTGCTGCTGTTGCTCCTCCTCGAAACCTTGGTTCTCCATCTGGAACGGAGAAGAAAATAAATAGGAGACGTTCTAAACTTTTCTGCCATCGATTAATATACAGAGTGTTCACGGTAATTTGTACCATTTCAAACCAAAACAGTTCTCGATCCCAAAGTATTGTTCAAATTCCCGAATCATGATCACTATGAATAACTT